GCTCCCGTCTGCTCCCGTTAACGTTTAATCCTGTACCGTCCCAATCACGTGATCGTTACTAATACTGACTCCCATCCCATGGGAATCCCACGGGAATCCCACGGGAATCCCGTGACCTGTGGGATTCCCGAAAAAATGTCAGTCTCTAGTGGAGAGTCATGACTGGTACCTCATCTTTTCCTTCATAGAGAAAGGCTGAGCAAAACTCAAACTGCTAACAAACTGCTAACGGTCCCTTAGCCTCCTAAATAATAAATCACTTTCAAAAAGGTACCAATGTGCTTAATCTCTTCCACCTGAGCCTCAGACTGCCCCAAAGCAGACATCCCATGTTTTCCTGACTACAAACCTGATTTATTAAACAACTTTCCAGTCTCACTTTTCATTTAAAAGGCAGAGCTAAAAGAAAACCTGTGAAAAAAAACAGAATCAAAAGACACATCTTCCTTTGTTTCTTCTACCTCTTCCAATATAAATCTGCTGTTCTTTCATCATCCAGGTGGTTTACTTTGTTGTGGAGCGGGAGTCAGTCAACCTGCCCAAAGTGTCCGTGGTTCCGGACGCCGACCGCCCGCTGTCCACTCAGAAAGTCAGTCAGACCAGGAGCCACCTGAGACTCAACAGCTCCTCGTCCGTCGGCTCCCCGGCAAGAACCAGGCCTGACAGCTCCAGGGACTACAGCTTCGTCACTGATGGTAGGACATCTAACCGCAGGCTAGAGCTGCTGGACTGATTGGGCAGAAGAAAAATGCACTAAAAATGTTTTTTTTTTCCTTTAAAATTACAGTTATAGGAAACCAGCAGCTGACTGGTCCATATTATTGAAAAATACCGAACAGCTCTTCTTTCCATAGTAAATGAAGGTGTGTGGCTTATATTTCAGAGCAGTTCTCAGGCTCCAGACTTTGACTAGGCCTTAGAGAAGCCTCCAAGATAGAAAGGGTTAAGGGGACAAAATGAAATAAATAAGTCATGAAATAGATAAATGTAAATAAAATGAATAACGAAATGTAAAATTAAAATAAATAAATGTGCCTTTAAATGATTAAATGTACCACTTATTTATTGAATACAGAAATAAACCTTTTATGCAAAAAATAACATCTTTAAATGTTATTTTTTGTAATTAATTAATTAACAGACACATTTGATTATTTAATTTCAAGTCAGAGGACTTGACCAAAGTGCTCTACACCACATTCAGTCATTCACGCCCACACTCACACACTACATTGTAGCCACAGCTGATCTGGGGATCACTGACAGAAAAAGCTGCCATACACTGGCGCCACCGGGCCCTCTGATCACCATCAGTAGACAATATGGTAAAGTGTCTTTCCCAAGGACACAACGACACTGAAAGCCACAGCTTTGGCTTAAACCGTCAGCCCTTCGAATTCATGGAAAACTCCTACATCTGACGCCTTTGTCGCCCTAACAAGGGACAGGTTAAGGGACAATGAAAAAGAAGCAGACATACAAAA